CTCTGAAATCCCACAGTCTCTCTAGGCTAAGATCCTACTTGGGGCTACTGTGGAACTTTCTGGGGCTGTGGGGCTGTGGATCCATCCATCACGGTACCCTGACCAGCCTCACCTTTCTCATGGTGACCTGCTTTCTCTCTAGGACTGAGCAACCTTGGCAAGCTCACCCCTGACTTTAACCAAGTCCTAAGCTCATTTTTTAAAAACCTAGACTCGCAGAAAGATTCCGTGAGGATTTCTTGGTGATCTGAGTACCTTTTCAAGTCTTTAACTAGAACTTGTGTTTAATTCTTGGCTTGACTGATCATCTACTGTCTGTACCACACACCAATCACTGGACTCTGAACTTGAATTTCCTAATTTTAAAGGGGATACTATCACTAGCTTCAGGACCACTAAGCTTAGGTGAGCTTAGAAGCACAGGAACCCCCAGCTCTATTGAACTCAGCTCCAGTAGCAGAAGCCAGCATTTTTTTTTATTAACAGTTTATTTTTTCATCATTTTGTACATTTTTTTTACTCAATTGTAATGCCCGTGGGTTTCCCATCACCAAGTCACCCGTGTGCCATCACCATAGTCCCATGCATTCCCCCCTCCCCGTTTTTGATCCCATTCCCCACTCCACCCCCACAAAAATATCTCTGGTATATGGCTGTTCATTATTCTTATTATTTTCTCGCCTGGTCCATTATACTCCTGCTATGAACGAAACCATCCAGTATTTTTCTTTCTCTTTCTGGTTTATCTCACTAAGCATGATCTTTTCCAGCTCCATCCAAGTTGCTGCAAAAGACATGTGTTTCTTTTTTTTGGTTGCTGAGTAATATTCCATTGTATATATGTACCACATCTTTTTAATCCAGTCATCTACTTTTGGGTATTTGGGCTGAAAAGCCAGCATTTTTTAAAAGGGTCCTAAAAGGGACGCAGGAATCAGGGACTCATGTAAGGACAATCTGAAAAGGCTGGAAGCTTTCTGAGCAGAAATGTGGGGCGGCTTAATCATCACCAAAGGATCTCTGGACAGAGCAGGAATAATGCCCTGCATGGCTCCTTCTCCACTGCTGACTTTCTCAGAAAAGTCACTTCCCTTCTCTATATGTTCTTTCCCCATTTGGACAATAAAGTAGATAGAATGAGTTCACAAATCTGGTTGATTCTCCTGAGGGTTTCATATAATGCAAGTATCCCTCTCCCAACAACCTAGAAGATAATTGAACCTGAGTCCCAGGACACTGGAATGTGTATTTTGAAGGTTCTCAAGTGGCTTGGAAGCTGCTAAATTCAGCACTGTCAAAGGTCCCACCCTGTGACATTGCTGATGTCGAGGAGATTCCCAAAGGATAAAAAAAGGACAGACAAGATGAAGCCTGAGCAAAACAAGCCCATACCATAAGAACAGAACAATCTAGCCCAACGAGCAACAGCTCAGAAACCCCAGTCTCCCCAAGAGAGGGTGCTGCTGAGAAGCATAAATTGATTCCAAACAGTTAAAGGCAGACTTATGAGGGTCAGCACCATCCAGAGGAGCAGAGAAGACCACCATGCCTTGGGGGCTGGCCTCGTGAATCAGGGTGACCTGTGGCAGCAAACTCTCTGTTCCCGTGGAGTACAATTTAGAAAAGTTCCCTCTCTGGACCTTCCCATCAGAAATCACTGAAAATAAAAACAAAACTTTGTGTGTAGAAACCACCTGAGACTAATATATGTCCACTGACGGGAAAATACAGTTCCCTTTGTTAAGAAATGGCCCAAGAGTTCTTCCTTTATGGAGTGGGGAACATAAATCTTGAGATTGGGTGTCTCGGTTTCCCATATTCAGAAAGTGAACAGGAAATCACAGGCTTTGTAAACTTTGCTCATTAAGCATCTCCAGCGTCAAGAGTTGGCCTGACAGGTTGCATAGGCGCTCATGAACTCCTGTAGAACATGTCAGCGGTCAGTGTTAACTATCTCTGTTCAGACTCAGAAACTGAGGTTTGGAAAACTATTCATCAATATCACTGATAACTATAGATGCCAAATTTCTCAACAAAATGCTAGTAAAACAAAGTCAACATCATTTTTAAAAGATCCTATACCTTTCTAAGGGATAGTTATTTCTAGATGCCAGGACAGTTCAATATATAGGTAATCAGTAAATGTGATACATCACATTCATAAAGTAAAATTATATGACCCCCTCTATGGAGGCAGAAAAAAATCATTTAAAAATTCAGTATCCTGTCAAGGAAAAAGAAGGAAGAAACAGGCTCAGAGAGGTTAGGTCTCAGAGCTGGTCAAAGACAAGATCAGCACAAAAGAATTTGGCCCACCTGGACCCCAAGCCCATGACCTTCTTCCTACCTCACCAAGCCTCCCAGTCAACCAAATAGAGCCTAGCATCCCTGGGAACATCTCAAAACCTTAAGAACAGGGTTGGCCTGGGGTTAAGTCAAAAGCGGGTCCCAGTGAAGGTGAGGTAACTGTGTAGGGTACTAAGCCTTTGGCTCTCTTCCTTAGCACTCTCACAAGAAGAACGGATGTGCGTATATGCTGTGTGTTCTCATTTCCAGGCCTGAGTTAACAAAATGAACCACTGTCATTCTACCCCAGAATAAGCAGCCCCCAAACCCAGCCTGCTTGTTCTAGACACAGTCTGGAGCTGCAGAAAAGACTGCAAGGAGTTGGTCACCATGAAAGAACTCTCAGAGTTCTTCTCTCTGCCCCTGCCCCCACCCATTCCACATCACTAGTGTGAAGTTACTGGTGCTCGTGGCAGGAGATCCCCCACACCTCCTGCCCCAGCCACATTTCCTGTTGTCAGAAAGGGTGCGTCTTGGGTATAGGTAGGATGAGCCATTGACACAAAACTCCCATTTGAAAGCTTGCAATGACCTTCTCTACCTCTTCCTTCACCCTCATACCAATCTAGCCCCTTTTACAAATGAAGGAACTTGATCAAGGTCCCGTTCAGGGATGAAGGTAACCCCAAACCCCATTGTTCTTGCTGGTTTCAAAGTCTGCCCTTCAGAATAGCCTTTCCATTCTACCCCATGGGACAGCCTACACGTGAATTTGGACACTGGAGAGGGTAAAGCTGGTCAAGACTGCTAAATGCCTGCCTCAACGCCTTCTATAGAGGAGTAATCCTTTGAATTAACAGGTTACACTTTTAGAATACAAATGGATCAGAAAATTAACAATCAGCTATTCTCACCAAAGATGAATAGATTCATCATATTCTTGCCATTCAAATGACCTTCAGAAACCAAATTAAAATCAGGACCTTCATTTGGGAAAAAATGAGGCTGAGACAGTGTACTTGGTGCTGAGTGGGTGTGTGTGTCCGAAGTCCAACTAGAACCTCAGTCTCCTGACCTTGGGTCAGAGCAGAGTCACGGCTGTTCCCACTGCTGACCTAGTTTGCAGATGATCAAACCTGCCCAGTGTAATCTCAGTATGATTGCTTGTAATTAACAACTCAATAGCCTTTCATATTTGCATCATTAAATTAGTGGAAAGTCTTCAAAAAGATTTCACCTTAACGTTTTAGTGAACAAAGCAATGTACATCCACATTAAAATTTCCATCATTTTCTGGAGGGTAGAATTTAACCTAATCTCTTTAAAGGGAAATAATTTCTGCAATCTTATAATGAGATTTTTGTATTTTAAGTAAAAGTAATTTATCAAGAACACATTTTTCTTTAAAGTTTTTATAGCTTGTAAAAGTGTTAGAACTCCGGCCAATGTGAAATTTGACAATTCCCCAAGATCTAGCCTGGCTTAAAAGATAGAAGGTTTGAAAGGAAATGACCCAGTGGTGAAGGAGGGAGGGGGTGTGCTGAGGGCTCCCAAGACACCCCAGAAGGTCACGGCCACACCTGGATGCTCCAAGTGAGAGTAGAGCACTAGGCAGAGCGAGGAGCTGGAACAGGAGGGAGCGCGCGTCAGAGACAGACCACCTGCGTGCTACGGCCTAGGAGTTCACAGCATGTCCAGGCCCCATGTGATCATGAGTGACGAGGCTGAGGCCAGTGTGGGGCCGGACAGAGACACGGACTGACAGGAGTGTAGCCTCTCATCTCCCACCGCATCCCGGGCCTCTGGGGGCTCACGGAGTGACTGTCCATGTCACACTTTCCATCTTCTCCAAGCTTCAAGAATCTTACACGCTAGAGCCAGCCCTTTGGGGAAGGGTCACGTACAGCCACAATAGCTGACCCCTTTGTGCTTAGCGTGTGCTGGGTTCTGTGAGAAACGTGGAGGACGCTGCCGCTGGCCGAGCTCTCTCACAGACGAGGTCTCCGAGCTCGCGTGGCGCCACGTCAGCCATCCCTGCAGGGCTCCCCCTGCTTCCAGTCCTGTGCGCTGGTCGGCTGCCGCCCTTTGTTAAAAGATAAACTGAGGCAGGATAAACCATGGTAGGTGTTTCTTTGAGCAAAAACTTATTCAATCCAGGCATCCAGCCTTGGAGATGTCACCTCTGAGAAGCCGCACAAAATGAAAGGCATTTATGGGGGGGGGGGGGCGGAGGAGCAAGGATGCTCTCCCAGAGGGAAGCTGTGTACTTACTGCAAGGTTCCTTTCCTACAGAGAATGGCGAATTGCCTAACTAGTGATTCCTCATGGCCCAGGGTCAGATTTCGTTTCTAGAAGAGCTGAGACTGTAGTCAAGTTTGTCTTTGGTGACATGGGGCTTAGTAGAAGTGACTCTATTTTGGGTTGTTGTGTGGCACCACGTCTGGTCTCCCTTAATAGGCTGTAAACTTAACACCAGAGTTTAAGTCTGCTTCACCGGTCTTTCAGCTCTTGTATCAGACCCAGAGCCTGGCCCAGAGAGGACCCTCCACAGAAGTGCCCAGTTTCAGTGACTGGTGTTTCTTGCCCTACTTTGGTGCCATCTTAGAATGTGGGTTGGGGGCCATGGAGCAGGCACCTGGAAGCAGCCCAGGGAGGCCGTGGAAGCAGGGGGATTTCAGGCCATGGGAGTGACTGACTTTCCTCTTGTGTCACAGTTCACTGGCTGTTCACCACGTGTGGGGCCAGCGGGCCCCACGGCCCCACGCAGGCCCAGTGCAACAACGCCTACCGGAACTCCAACCTGAGCGTGGTTGTGGGGAGTGAGGGCCCCCTGAAGGGAATCCAGACCTGGAAGGTGCCTGCCACTGACACCTACAGGTGCGTATGGGAGTGGGAGGAGCAGGTGAAGATCAAGTGCACCCTCCTGAAGGGGGGGGGGTGTCCTGCCTGTGAGTGCATGCCCCCTGGGCCCCTGGGCCCCCCAGCCCACCAAGGTGGGGTGGGGTGGAGAGGGCTGGAGATGGGAAGGACTTGAATCAAGGGGACTCTGGCCACCAAGGAAGCTGTGCCCTCTGTCCAAGAAGCCCATGCTAGCTCCAGGACACTGTCTCATCCGTGGTGATGTAGGATGGAGCACTGGCTTTGGAATGTTACTTCACGCTGTCCCAGTGAGGCAGTGTCTGTAAAAATTTCTGGGAAACTAAAATACGTGAAAGATGATGTTCTTACACTGAGCCTCCTTTCCCGGGGCTTCTCCCTTCTCCAGTAAAACCTCTGTTCTCCACCCCTGCCGCCACCCCACAGCGTCCCATTGTTTGAGGCCAGCCTGCGAGAAGGCCTAACTGCCCGGGCCACTTGGAAGCCCGGACACTCACGGGGAGGCCTGACCCAGTGGCTTGCAGCCATGCAGGAGCTCCAATTCAAACACAGGTGCTGGCTACTCATGAGTGCCTGGGTCTGGAGTGAGCTCTGTGCTTTGAACCACTAGTAAATTTCCAGGTAACATGACTAGCAGCCCTGCAGACCAAATCCTTGGCAACAGTCCTCATGTAACTCCACCTAACGGGCGTCCTTTGCCCACTGCACAAACTCATTGACCAAAGCTCGAAGGCAGGGGGAAGCGTTACTATGTGGCCCGTCAAGCACAAAGGCAGGAGCTGGCTGTACTCTGCCTCCCCGCCCTCACGGGGCTCGGGGCTTTACGGACCTAGTGGAAGGAACAGAGGAGTCTGGACTGATAAAGAGGGGAGGGGGAAAGGGAGTTCCCCAAAGTGCAGGTGTTCTTGCTTCTTCATGCATCAAATGGGGAGGGGTTTAGCCTGTGCTCCTCAGGGAGATTTGGAGGGTCTGACCTCATAGGGTTCTCCCCATCACTGCTTCTGGGGTTCACAGCTGCACCCTAGAACAGAGCATCTAGATAATATGCTAGAACCTCCTTCCACTAGCTTCTCTTAGTCAGGCTCTGCTGGCCTTGCAACAAGAAGTCAGGGCGTGATTGTCAAGGCGGAGGAGAGGTGGACACACCGGGGAAGTGGGGAGATAGGTAAGCAGGCTTGGAGCACCCCCCCTACACACACACACACCTCCCAGGGACAGGCTCAGACTCAGACTTTCTTAAAAAACGGTGACCTCTGGGGCAGGCAAGGCCAGGGCTGCAGTCCTCACTTCACAGGTCAGGAACCCGGGGCTAGAAGAAGCAGGACCCCCACAGTCACATGGCCAGAAATACACTGCAGCTCCCAACTTCTGAGGCACAGCCTCGTGCTCGCCCCAACCCCCACCCCCAGCTGGGAAGCACCATCTTTCCTGTTGGTGACCGGAATGCCCCCCCAGGCTGACGGTGAGAGGGAAGCCTCTCCCTCTCCCATGACCCCCAACCCCAGCACGTCTTCAGCCCCCTGGGAAGAAGCGGGGCTTCTCAAATTGCCATTTGCAGTGGCAGCTGTACCCCTGGGACCTCAGCATAAATGCATCTGGGGAGAGCCTAAGTGCTTTTTACACAGCGCTCTGGGCAGGAACGCAGTAACACCGGGCTCCAGGCAGATGAGCGGCTCTAGCTCCCAGCGCTGGCAGAAGACGCGGCCCCACTCACCAAGCAGCCAGGCCCCCTTTCCGTGCGTCCTCGCCGAGAGAAGGGGGTGAGCGTGTGTGGAGGACTCACCAAGTGCTCCCCTCTTTTAGCAGTGGGTTCAGTGTCAGCATCATTGTCCCGTGGACAGTCCTTGTCTCGACAGGTTCCTGGCGTGGAGATGCTTGGCAACAGATCTAGGCCAGCGGCAGTGGCAGACGGGGTTTGAAACCAGGGTTCTCTGGCTCAAAGTCTGTGTTCTTTCCACTAAAGCCCGCCCTGAGAGGCGAGCAGGGGACAGAGGGCCCGGAAACGGGTGCCCGAGTGGCTTCCGAGAAGCCTCTGCAAAGGAGAGCCCAGGAGGGGAGTCTCCCCACCTGAAGGGCACAGACAGGCATGGACGGGGTGCAGACCCCGTATTCAAAAAGCATCACAAAGAAGCACTTGAGGCGATTGTAAGCAGGCAGAGATCTCCACCGGAAGGCCCCCAGTGAGGGCCTTTGTTGCAGCCTGCCAGGGCAACGCCACAGTCAGACTACTGGCAAGACCCCCGCCACCCTCCAACAAACAGAGACAAGCAGGAGGCCCCGCGGAGGGTCCTCTGGGGCTGTCCCAGGGCCCCATGCAGGTCAGTCAGACCCACCTCTGACAGGGAGTTCGTCTCCCCAGACTGTCGCCCCTCTTTCAAGGCCCACATGGGCTTGGCTGGGAAGCTGCCCGTGCCCACACACACTGCATGCTCCCTGGTGGCCAGCAGGAGATGGGCTGGAGCAGCCCCGGCTCAGGCCAGTCCGGGGCAGCGTGCGCAGGAGCAGCCTGACCCCACCACTTCCGTTCATCCCTGAATTCACTGCCTCCAAGGACACTTCTAAGACTTCTCAGATGGGTCTAGATTTTGCGAGATTTTGCCTGCCTAACTGCACTTATTAAATAATAATTAATTCATTGCCCCATGTTTTATTGATCACAGCTGTGGCTAAGGACAGCCAGGTTCTGATCTGCATGAGCCGCCACCCTCCCGCCTGCAGCCCAGCCCAGATCAGACCCGCTCCCGTCTGTCCCTTTGGGGTACCGAGCCCATAGCCCCAGCGTGGCCACCTTGAAAGCCACGTAGCGTGGCCACGTAGCACCTCCTTGAAAACATCCATGAGGAGCCTTTTTTTTTTTTTTTTTCAGTATGGAGGATACTGTGAAGTACCCATGTGGGCACAGGGGACGTTTTGGTCTGGGGACTCTGTAGAGCTGATAGAGCCTCTGTAGAGCTGATAGAGCCTCACTCGGAGGTGGAAGAACCAAAAACAGCACTGGGGCACTGGGTCTGGGCTTTTTCTGACCGCATAAAGGCTGGAACAGACGTACATTCCTGACCTGCACATCATTGCTGACCCTGGGAAGCTTCAGGCCGGGATGACGTCTGTTGTCACAGACCTAGTAATCAAAGAAGCAGATGGTTCTCGTGGTTTCCTTTTAGACAAATCAAAATGGCCCCACGTCCGAATGTCCATGTCGACCAGTCAGGTGTCCTTTTCTGGAGCACATTTTCTCCATTTGAACTAATTCTTAGTGCTCAGTGCAGTTCATCCAGTGAGAACAATCATGGCCAAGGGCAGAGCCAGAGAGGTTGGGGGTTCGTCTGCTGACACGCACCGGCTCCTGGAGGCGTGTGGAGGCTCAGCTAGTGCTGTCTGGCCACTCTCTGCCCCCGCTACCTTCTCAGCATATGGTCAGAAAGGCGGACGCCTGACCGAGCACCCACCATACACCAGGTGGGGCCATCACTGCTGGGCTTCACAGGGAAAGAGCACCCTTGACTCCCAAGAGGTCACTTATCCAGAACCCCATTTCACCCCCTGCCCACAACCAGGAAGATGCTCCAGAGGGAAGGGGAGGAAGAAGCAGCTGAGACAGGAGGCCAGTGTCTGCCAGAGTTCAGGGAAACACCCAGGCCCCGCCTCTCCCTGCTGTCCTGGGCTTCCCCTTTCCTGGACTTGCTGCTTCCTCATTCAGAACAGGGGGGTTGTGTCACTGCGCCCTGGCCCTAGTATGTCCTGGGGTGCAGATCTGCTCCCTCCTGCTTGGCAGAGCTCAGCCGATCTTATTAAACACTGTGAGGACACTGAGCCTGACACCAGGACGCTGTCTCTAAGGAAGAGGTGTGCATCTCCCTGGAGCTGAGGGCGGGGCCCTTGGGGCTGGAATCTCAGCTCCCAAATGCCTTTTGCACCCCCTGGTGGCAGCATGGGGTGACAGTGAGAGAATTAGCATTGAGGCAGGCGGGCAGGCTGATGGGGTCCCCCAGGCACGCCTGGACAGGACTAAGCAGGCAGAGGGAATGTGGGTACAGACGAGGAGCCAGGGGAGCAGTGTGTTGGAGGGGCAGGAAGGAGAAGGCAGTGCCCGGATGGCAGCGGGCTTGGGGGCCGAGGCAGCAGGACAATAAGTGGCATCTGCTGTCTCCAGAGGCCTGGTTGAGGTTGGCATGAGGGTGATGGCGAGAGGGGCACCTAAGTAAGGGAGATTTCAAGGCTTTGAGCGATGAACTGGAGCTTGTACCATGGGGGCGGGTGGCTGAGGGGAACACTTAAAGATTATGGATAAAGGCAGGGACAGGCTGGAGGGGCATTCTCACTTCACCATAAAGTGGAGACAGACCCCAACAAAGCCCAGCCCCCAGCACTCCAGGGGGTTCGATGTGCCACTGTGCAGGGCGTCCTGTGGTCCTGTGCGGGCGTCCTCAGCATGACGCCAGCCATCCCTCACTCCTCCTGACCTCTGCTCGGTCTTCATCACCCTCGCTCCCTCCAGCTCTCTAGCTCCTTCCTTTCTAGCTTCCTCCTTCCCTGCTCCCCTCCTTCCCCCTTCCCTGCTTCCTTCCTCCCTGGGACTCAACATCCTTCCCAGACCTCAGTCCTCCCCCACATGGAAAAGCAGCCAGTGCAAACACTTGACAAGCATGACCCACAGCTCCCGCGGTGGTTCTCACAGGGCTCACTTGCTCCTCACCCCTAAAGCCCAGGAAGCTCCTGATCCAGCTGGAACCAGCAAGCCCTGCCAGCTGACCGGGCCCCAGCTGTTCCCGCTGGTCTCCCCATGACGCTCACTTCTGCACCTGGCTCCAAAGACCAGCATGCGCAGCTGGGTGACACATCCTTCTGCCCAACCCACAAACAGCCTGGGAAGGGGGTCACCGGCCTGTGGAGTTTCTGAAGTGGGGCTCCCACTGTGTGCCTGGCGCCATGTAGGTGCTACAGGACTGGTCAAGAGGACTGAGACTAGAGCCTCGCAGCTGTTGGAAAGACCCCGGGCAGACGAGTCCACCAGTCCACAATGCCGGCAGAACTCTAGACACGAGCAGAAGGCCACGAGCATGGTCAGTCACCAGGACCCGAGCCTGGGCGGCCGTCCATGGACAGCACCGAGCAGCAGGCCTGAGTGAAGACGGTGAGCTGCAGCTGGAGCTGAAGAGGCCCCCCAACATCTCTTCCAGGCCCAATGTTCCTGGCACTTACGCAGCTCTGGCCAGGGAGGAAAGAACTGGACAGCAAGTCTCACTCGGCAGTGCCGTCCAGGGGCAGCTAAGCAGCAAGGAACTCTGCCTCCACAACTGGGCTTCTCGCTGCCCCCAGGGGTGTCACCTGATGGCTCCAAGGGCCACAGGGGAAGTGCGACTACCCATCTGGAAACATTCGCACCACACGATCGGTCTCACCGTGGTCCTAATGCATCAGGGAATAAGGAGCTTGTGCAAGGTCCCAGGACACTAGAGGAAGAGTTCAGAGGGTGGGTCCCTCCCCCTGCCCCTCTGTCCCCTCTTTCCCTCCGAGGTGGCACGGCACGCCCTTGTCCTGCACACCGGCTGTGCTCTCTTTCTGATCCCGCAGGCAGCCACTTTGATTTGCTGCTAATTCTTTATTTAAAAAAGATTCACAACTCAATTACATCAGGTAACAATAGCTCACAGTCAATAATACAAAACGCAAACCCAATAAACACTCATTCTGACCAGGGGACATGGATTGAGACGACAAAAAAACAAAAAAATTACAGCATCAGCTCGTCAAGAACACTATCTTGTAATTTCCAGTAAATTGGAATCACTGTGAGTCGTTTTCCCCACTTGAGTGGCAGGTATATTAATTTGCCGTCGTTTGTCAACCATCAAAAATAAATTGTTTACAAGGGATGGGAAGAGAGCGGCAAGTCAGGCTAGCTTGTTATGCTGTGTGGCGTGATCCCTGTGGTGGGACCTCGGGAGGGCGTGAGCCTGTGCTCCCGCAGGTTCCCTGCAGAGGGCGCCCTACGGAGACCCAGCAGCCTTGACGGCCTCCTGGCCAGGCCTCTTCCGAGCTGCCCTCTCTCCTAAAGAAGCGACCCCCTGCTCCCGCAGAGCAGCGGCAAGGCCAGGCGCTGCTCTGCTCGCCGCTGTCTGCCCTCCAAGTGCTGAAGTGAGTCCCTTGTGGGCGTTTCTCATTTAATCCTCACAACTGTCTTTCAAGGTAGAATGTCTATAAAGGAGGAAACTGGAGCGCAGAGAGGATAAGGAACCTACCACCAGCCACCCTCACAGGGCAGTGACTCTGGCAGGCCCAGAGCCTGAAGACGCTCCCCTCAGGGGGCTTCAAACATAAAACTGAAGGAGACGCAGGCTCTCCAGGGTCAATGGAGTGCAGGGTCTGAGAAGTCAGTGTGGTCTTTTGCTTCCCCCAATTCCTTGCCCTGAGTGACAGAGCTCTGTCTGAGTCAAACCCTTGCTTTTTCCATAGTGGCACATCCTACCGCTCCAGAAGAGACAAGCCTTAGGGTAGCAACTAAGAGCTTCCAAAGGAATGAAGCTCTCATGGCGGAAGTTCAGAGCTCAGAGGGCTGGCAAGGAAGACACCACTTCCCAGGGCCCCTGCATATTAGTGTAGGGTCTTTAATCCCATTAATCTGAGCCCGTCGCTTGTCCAGGGTGGAGCAGAGGCACTGAGGCCATAGCACCAAGAGTTAGAACCAGCCGACTGACACCATGCTCCTGCGTCCACTTAGGAACCTGTGGAGCTGACCCCACCCAGGGTCCTCCCCTGACTTTGGCACCAGTTTGTAGCCTTTTCAAATCTACCACTTATCCTCACGAAGGTCGGGGCTCCTTGTCCTCAGTTTTTTGTGGGGTGGGGAAACTGAGCCTCTGGGACATTAACCAAGTTGCCCAAGCCACACTGCCAGCAGCACAACCTCTACCTGACTCAGGACTCAGGACTCAGGACTCATTCCATCCCTCCGCACCCCTAAAAACTAGGCAGAGACCTAAGTAGGCTGGTGTTGGGATTTGGTTGGGGGCAGGAAAAACAGGAAAGAAAGCTTGGGGAGGAAAAGTAAGTCAGGAACAATTTCTAAAACATAATAATTCAGCTAAATTTAAACATGTGAGTGAGTTCAGAATGGTTCATGAAGCATGCAGATTGATGCAAATCACTATGCAAATGAAGCTGAAGGGTCTAGAAAGGGCACGGCTTACTTTCCGGCTAGAAGCAAGAATGGGAGGACCAGGACTGAGTCTCAGGCAGCGGTTTTCCAACCAATCCACACCTTCAGGTCGAAATGACTTCCTAGCACCACCTGACAAAGCCCCGAAAACTGGAGCAGGGAGCAGGGCCACGGTGGGCCGGCCCCCTTGTCTGGAACCCGCATCACCAGCAGCCTTTGCCGCAGCCTTCCCTTTAGCTGAGCGTATAATTCCGTGAGCTTCCCTTTGCCCAGTGTGGATGCCTCTTTAGTCTTCCCACTGTCTTTACCACTGTCTCCCTTCTGATGGGTCAGGAGCAAAGGCTCAGCTGGGGATGTGAAGACATCGGGATGGACCAACGCCTCTCAGGCCAACCTCGCTGTGGGCCCGTGTGTGCCACCTGGCAGCGTGTTAGAGAAAAGGGGGCCTCTCTATGGGGAAATGTGTGGGTTTGGACCGTGGCCTGCCACTCACCAGCAGTGTGATGAGACGAGTCACGTAATCCTCCTGGGCCTCGGTTTCTCCTCTGTCAAGTGAGGTGCTGACCATCTACTGTTTATGGCTGTGGGGGTGCCGTTCACATGACGCCTGGCCCCTCTGCTGTCAGGCCCTCCACAGGCCCTCCCGCCTCCTAGGAGCCTGGACTCCTACCCCACCTCTGTCATCCCCAGCAAGAAGCTGACTTCACCCCTCCGGGCCCCACGTCCTCCAGGAGCTGCTGACTCAGAGCCTGTCACAGTCATCTGTCCCCTCCGGACCCCCTTGCTCCCGAGAGCCCTGCCTTCGTGCCAGGAATTGCCACTTGCTCAGGGTTGTTACCCTGTTCTCTCCAGATGATAGTGGCCCTCCTCACTACCCTGAGAGTTCAGAAAAGACCTACAATAGTTCCTTTGTGGCCAGGGACAAAGCTGGGACTCAGAGACACACCAGGAAACCGCCAGAACTCTCTATCTCTCCTGCCTCTCCAATCAAGCCACCCCCATGGTGAGGCTTCCCTTCTCATCTGTGACACCCCAGCTGCTTTGTAATCCCCTGAGGGGCCTGGGCCCCTCCCAGCCTCCGCTGACTCAGCAGCCTCATGCAGACCTCCAGAGCTCCAGCCAGCCCCTGGCCCCCAGCGGCCCATAGGCAGGAGACCCTTCTTTTGTCGCCTACTCAGTAAATCCAACTTTAATAACTTTTGTCTTTGTGTGCCACTGGGCCTATACAATATACGAAAAGGCCAATCACTGTGTGATTAAAGTTGTGTGGAATGATCAGCGGGAAGAAGAATGTGCAGACAGTTGATACTCTGCATCTTGTTAACATCATTTTGCAAAGCCCAGGAGGTGTTGTGAAAACAATGTGTGTGTGTGTGTGTGTATGTATGTGTGTGTATGTATGTGTGTGTATGTATGTGTGTGTGTGTATTTATGTGTGTGTGTATGTATGTGTGTGTATTTATGTGTGTGTGTGTATTTATGTGTGTGTGTGTATGTATGTGTGTGTGTGTGTCTTTATCTATCTGTTGGTGGGGTTGTACCGAGATACTTGGTTGACATCGTTTGTGTTCTAGCAGTGTAGGGTCTCCCTTCCGGTGTTGCCACAGCGCACCCACCGAGCACCCCCAGCCCCCACCATGGGCCACTGTGCTCCCTCCCACTCTGTCCTTGTCCCGGCCTCTGGACGCCGCTCCGCCACAGTGTGACTGACATGGGGAAGACAGAGACACCCAACAAAGGGAGACCCTGCTGAGCACCCCGTGGAGGGCCCACATGTGAACAAAACCTCCAGCACCTCTTCTGGACGCTTTCATAAAGGACCTCGGATCCGAACACCCAGGGATGTACGACTCCCACCCTCCTCACAAGCTGTCTCCAAGACCTGCCTCCTCGCCGGGCTCGCCAGCCGAGTTCTTTTTATCCCTCTCCTTGGATGACTGCGTCTTAACAACCCACAAAGTAGAAGAAATAGGCCCATGTCCCCACACTCGGCTGTTTTGCATCCTGACGACTTGTTGTCTGCGCATATATTGCCCCTGAAGGAATACAGGCAGGAAGGGAGTGAACGGTCTGTGCTCATCAACACGGCTCTCCTCGGCCATCCAGTCTGCGCTTAGACCCCCGTGGGGAGACTCTCAAAGTCTGTACCAAGTCAATGACTGCTCCTTCCCCTAATAAAAAATTATTAGTATTATTATTATATAATTATTAGTGGAAGGAGCAGTAATAATTCATCTCATTAGTATAATCAATAATAATTCTATCCCGACATGATTCTGCGACTCCATGTCTTAATTACTACTCTCACAGTGCACCTGGGCCAGAAGGTAGGTTTTCTTACCCCCGTTTTACAGGTGTGGGACTGCAAAATTTAGTGGCTCTTCGAAGGCCGCATGAGTTCTTTGACCTTGGACTGGGAGAGAATCCACAGTGAGAAATCCCAGGCGGTTAGGAACCCATCACGCCAGTACCGCCATGCCCGCGGTCCCTCCCCTCCCGCACCCTCCGCCTTGCGCGCTCTCTCCTCCCTCTCTCCAACTGTGAGCTGTGCCTCTCTTACTGATGCTTCACCTGCTAGCACCGTGAATGAGGCAGCGTCTGTCTCCATAGTTTTCTGTCCTTTTCCTGCAGTGGGAGAAGCGCCGTCCTCGGGACCTCAGGGGAGAAGCACGGAGCGGGTGGGGGAGGGGACGCGACGTGAGGTGCTGGGTGGGCAGGTAGGGGTCAGTCCTCGTCTAGTGACCGGCGCCTGTGCTTCCCCCTCAGCATCTCGGGCTATGGCGCAGCCGGCGGGAAGGGCGGGAAGAACACCATGATGCGGTCCCACGGCGTGTCTGTGTTGGGCATCTTCAACCTGGAGAAGGACGACACGCTGTACATCCTGGTGGGGCAGCAGGGGGAAGACGCCTGCCCCCGAGTAAGTGTCCAGAGCGGGGCCTCACCGGGCACTGAGGCACCGAGGCCTGATGCACCCCGGCAGCTCCCATTCAATATAGCAGACAAAGGCCCCACCCTGTCCAGGGCCATCTGGGTGCGGCGCAAAGTGGGTGCTGTGGCTGTTGAGGGTTCACCCCACAGGGCACAGGGATGACCATGGAGACGTAGCTTTCACATCCTTCAAATGGAAGAACTGAGTCCTCTGAGTGGGCAAACGGGCCATCCCAGCAGGAGTAGGACTGAAAGCCCACTTCCACTTCCTTCTGAGGGCGCCGTGATCTTCAGCCCTAAGATTTTATAAGCAGGAAAACACCAGGTTAATAGTGCTGCTCAACTTAAAAATCACAGGCTCCTAGCCATATCCATGTACAAAACTGCATAGAAAAAGAGCCACAGAAACAGTGGCAGCTCTGGAGGAGAGAGTGGAGCCAGACTGCTCTATCAATGCTGTCTGATACCTCAGAGAGAATGGGGTCATAGAAGATTATGTTTGTGATTAAAATTTTTTTAAAATGCTTCTAAGCATAGTCAGAGCTGAACAACCATGCAGTCCACTCCCCCGTTATCATAGATGAGATTATACACTGATGAAGGGACTTACCCTAAGTTAGTAAACTGAGCACAGAGTTGGGCCTCTGGGGTCCTGTTTTTGCTGTGTCCTATGTTTGGGTCTCAGTTTCTATGGCCTTTTTCCTTCTTCCACTTACTGTTTATCCCTTGACAAGTGAGACTATCTATTGCAGTCTCAGAGACAGCCTGTCATCTTGGTTCTGACCCCACTGGAGAGTCCCGCTGTCAAAGAAGGAGACATTAAGAAAGCCAGCGGCTGGCTGTAGTGGCCAGGAAAGTCAGTAAATGCAGCAGCTAATCGTGTTTGTCACCCAGCTGCTTGCCTCTTGGGAGGAGGCAGGAGCCAGACAGTGCTGGTGGGAGCTCGGTACCCTGAGGGCCTGTCCTCCCCCTCACCCCAGGTTACCCCTTCATCTAAAACACAGCTTCTACCAGGGTGGCGTAGGGGGCTGGGCTCCAGTGGCCAGGGTCCAGATCTCCTCTGGGAACTAATCTAGTAACCGTGGAGCACAGACATGGTACATGAGCTGCCAAGAATGAACTTCAATTCCTCAAAATGAATTCAGGGTTCCAGGAGGTCCTGGGGGAGAAGCTAAGCATAGCCTCCCCGCTCCAGCCCCTTCTTAACATCCCCCTCTGTGGGATTAACACCGTGCGACAGAGTAACCTCAGCAGGTGCAAGCCGGTAAGTGAGAAATGTCTGGACTCTAACTTTTATTTAGCAACTATAATCAGTACTTTCCAACCTGATATAATATATTAAGTCATTAAATTACAGGCTGCTGTAATTTTCACAGGAATTTATTGAGTGCTAATGTAATTCTTTCATCTAAGCAGAAAGATTGCCTTGACTTCTGCGAGGGACTTTTACTTGATTGGATTGTAATCAGTTATGTCTTTTCACAGGACTGTATCTTTTCTCTTTTTAATTTAATTGTAATCTGCTTGTTCCTCTGGATTGCTGCACTTTATCATGCTCTTAATCAACCTACAGGCTCTCAAACTGGATTCACAGAGATGGTTCCTTTAGAAGCATGTGCTCAGCCCGGGACAGAGGACAGCTCCCTCTGCTGGCCGGGCAGGACATAAAATGGTCGTAAAAGGCTCCTCCCTTCTGCCTTTCCAGAGTCAATGGTAGAGGAAGGAAGGCTGTTCATAGGCACTACCTCAACCTCCAGTCCACCCTAGACGGGAATATGGTATCTCCAGAGAATCCTCTAGAAAATAGAGTAGACTTTAAGAATTAAACTATGGGATTTGGCACATCTGTTGACACCTAGCCACACCTGAGCCTTGGGAGGGCCCCCAGAAAACCAAGTCCCCAAGGAAGAATCATGTCTGGTGCTCCCAGAACAGTCAGAGTGGGCAGAGGGAGCAAGAGGGAGCCGAGGAAAGATGAGGTTGGGGTCACAGGGACCGAATGAGGCCATCAGGACTTCGTGAAGCATAGAAGGTTTGGGAAGAGTAGGGGCCTGGTGTGATCTGTGAATTAGAAAAACTCTCTGGCTCAGTGTGGAGAACAGATTCATCAGACCCAAGGGGAGGGGCTGAGCCACGGATCCAAGAGCTGTTGCATTTAATCCTGGCAATGGATGGTGCTGGCTCAAGCAGGCCAGTATGGTAACTGTGGATGTGGTGAAAAGTGGTGGATTCTGGGCATATTGGGGTGTAAAATCCTAAAGATTTCCTGCTAGACTAAAGGAGGATCTAAAAGAAAGAAGGAATCAAGGGTGATTCCAAGAATTGTGCCTGAGCCAGTGGAAGAAGGGAGCTGCCGTCACCAGCATTGGGGAAAGCAGGTTGGGGGCCAAGGTCAGGAGTTCGGTGTTGGCCATGCGGAGTTGGGAAGGTCGGGGGACAGGCAGACGTGCTTCCGGGAGACAAGGGAGCACCGGCTAGAGTGATGATAGAAGTCTGGAAGAAATTAGCGTCAGATTGAGACAGAACTAGATTGCTTAGGAATTAGTAAAGATTAGAAGAAGCCCAAAGACCAAGCCCCAGCAATCCCCCAAAGTAGAGGAGCCAGGAAAGTGGGAGGAGATTCAAGAGGGCGTAGCCTCTGGAGTGGGGAGAAGGAGCACATTATGGAACAGTGATCCTCTGCACCAAATCCATGCTGGCTTCTGCAGTTCCCAGCCCCCACCCAGCTTAAAGGAAATACCCCACACTGTGAGGTCGTGAGTGACCCACATGAACGGGGCTCAGCCCACTTCTCTGTACTCACTCCCCTCCCGCAATCTCCGGCCCCCTACAGATTCTGTTTACCAGAAGAGGACACCCCCAGGGGGCAGAAGCCCCACTGCTACCAGACAGGAGCAGAGGAAGGGAGCAGGGAGATGATCTTCTTAGCACGACTGCTTCAGACTGGCAGCCCCTGACTTAGAGAGCTACTGAGGCGCCTCACGAAAGCCACCTGCGAATCCCAACAGACCCAGTGCACAGCCCAGAGTGGCCCGATTCTCCACTCTGCTCTGTCCGGCTCAGAGTCCCCGTCACCTCCTGCCCCATCACCTCCTGCCCAGCTCAGAG